CTTTTTTCATGTACAGACTTTTAGAATTATTTGGAATGAATTATGTGCAGAATATAAGACATGTTATATCCTCCTATAAAGTGTAGGTGGATACATATGTATTAGAAACAGAAAAAATATATACCCGGGGCACAGTGACAAAGCATCTGCATAAAATTAGGTAATGTACCAAGAGATCTGATTGAGCATGTTGTAGTGGTTTTACAAATTACAACTTTGAAGATATCAAGAGTTAACTTATAATGTATCTATAACAGGATCCAAAACAATAAAGTCTTTAAGAATAAGCAAACAGCTAAAATATAAAGACAGAAGATAACAGAAATTCAAGGAACAAAGTCCTCATTGTTTAGCAATTACCTATTAGTATGAGTTATTTTGTAAAATCTTCTAGATAAATACTTTCTGAGGACTTGTAGGCATGGAATCATTTCTGCAGGGAGCACATGAAAATTTATGGAAAGAAAAATATGTAAATTATCCATATTAATTTATAAAAGTTTCCTAGGCATTCTTAGAAATGTGTTCATTCCTTCAAAAATTTGTTTCAAAGTATTAGAAATTGAGTTTGGGATCAGCAAGATTGGTGTATATTCACTATAAAAAACAAAAAGATCAAATTATTTTAAAATAAATACAAAGGACAGATGGAAATATGGATAATTTCAAGCAAAGTTTAGGCCAATTACATAAGTGGGGAGCTTACTGCCACAGTCAAATGATTACTTGAGTTCTAGAAAAATCTGAAGGGATGGATAGCAAATGATAAGCAAACAAAATACCCAAGCAATGGTTATAGTTGAGTTTTTAAGATGAGGCATTGGGACTCTCATTTCCACTGGGGCAGTAGAGAGGCCCTCACACCCTGGTGACAGTGGAAAGCCCATGGCGAGCTTGAGTTTCCACCCCCTACCCCTTGCAGGAATGAGACTTGGCTCTTCCCACTGGAGTGGTATCAGAGACTGACAGATGGAGAGTCAGGAATTTCATCTTCCTGCTCAGGGGAAATGAGGCTACCACATCTGTAACGTCAGGGTAGCAGTCTGGGGAGTAGTGATGAGGTACTGCTATCCCTCCCAGCCACGGAGTTATCAGGGGAGGCCTAGTGGATTCCAGAACTCCCCACCCTCATCCAGTATTAATGAGTCATTCTCTATTCTGGGATCAATAGAAATCAAGTAGGATGCTGAGACTTTTACCCCAACTTTGCAGCAGTAAGGTGATACCTACTGCCATATCCCTGTCATTAAGAAGTGGTGACCCAGAGTTTCATTATTTTCCAAATGTCCAGGTTTCAATAGAAAAAAATGTAATCACGTCAAAAAATGGGAGTATCTCAAAGCAAATGAAAAAGACAATTGATAGATGCCAACACTGAAATGACAAAATGTTAGAAATATTTTTATAAGAATTTTAAAGTAACCCTGACCAAAAATGCTTCAGTAAGCATTAATGAAGGTACTTGAAACAATAAAAAATAAAGGTCTCAACAAAGAAATTGAAGATATAAAGAGGAAAAGAATGGAAATTTTCTAAATGAAAAGTAGAGTAAATAAAATTTATAAAAAAAGAGTGTTCAGAGGGACCAGCAGTTAGCGTAATGGCTATGTAGCTGGACTCTCACGTAGTCGACCACGGTTCACGTCCCGGACCCGGTGGCTTAAAATTCACACCAGGCGTGTGTGCGTGCCTGCCCAAGATCCTGAGAGGAGAATGGAGGAAAGGGATTGCAGCGTGGTCATCCCCTCTGGGGGGTTATTTCTCACTTTCTGTCTGTCTGTCTGTCTTGCAAGTGCACGCGCCCTATAGCGAAAACCTCTCAAAAAAAAAAAAAAGAGTGTTCAGAGTCAACAATAGAATGGAAGGGGCAGAAGGAAGAATTCACAAAGTGAAGAGAGAACAATAGAAATTATCTCTCTGAACAAGAGAAAATAGACAAATTAAAAGAAAAAGAGTCTCAGAGATCTGAGGGACTGTAACAAAAGATCTATGCTGGAATGTAGAAGAGAAGAAAAAAGTCAAACTTTTAAGTTCTCAAAGCAAAAATGTTAAAAACTTCACTAATTGCAGGAAGCATAAACCTCCAGATCCATAAAGTTGAGCAAAGTGTGAACAGGAAAAAAAAAATCAGATGCATGCCATGGGACATTATAATTAAACTTCTGAAAACTAGAGACAAAAATGAAATTTTGGAGTGCTAAGAAAAATGTGACTCCTCACCTATAAGAGAGAAATAATTTGACGGCAGTGGATTTACCAGACACCATGGAGGACAAAGGAAAGTAATATTTGTCAAGTGCTAAAAGAGAACCATAAACTCATGAACTCCAGTTTCTACACCCAACTTAAATATAGTTTCAAGAATGAAGAGGAAATCAAGACATTCTCAAATACAAGAAAATAAGGGAATTTGTCCAGAAGATTAACCTAAAAGAATGTCTGAGGAACTTCTCTTAACATAAGGAAAAGCAATAAATGAAGGAACATTGGAACACTGGGAAGGAAGAAAGAACATGATAAAATATCGGTAAATAAAACACAAAATACTTTTCCCCTTGAGTATTATAAATTACGTTTGACAGTTGAAGCAAAAATTATAAATATTTCTTATGTCATCTTAATTATATGTAGAGGAAGTAGGTCAAATAACTATAATTAGAAGAAAGTAATTAGAAATAGAGAGGTAAGATAGCTACATTTCAGTTGACTTCCTAATTAACAATACTAGCGGATATGCTAAGTTATGTATATGTAATATATCTCGACCAACCTCTAAAGAAGCAATATAATAAGATACATTTAAAAACACAATAGATAAATCTAAAAGGAATTCCAAACATGTTTAATTAACCAAGAGGAAGGCAGGAAAAAGAAAATACAGAATGAAAAAATAGAATTAACAGAAAACAAAAAGTGACACGGCATACTAAGCTTGCCTTTCAACATATTATATTGGTCTATATTGGACCATGCTACATATGGTCTAAATATACCAATTAGAAGACAGAGATAAGTGGAGTGGATTACAAATCATGACCTGCTGATATGTTGTCTACAGATACATATTCATGCATTCATCTTAACATGGCTGGGTTTTCTTTCTTTAGATTTTACTATCACTTTTTTGAGGGTGTTAAAATGTTATCTTCTATCACAGTGGTAATATGTATTTAAAAAAATAAGTAAATAAATAAAACTTCTTGGGATAATAATAATTTTCCAATCTTTCATCAGTTCCTAAAAATGTGATTTCAAATGTACTGCTCCATGAATTATAGAAGTCCAGGAGTCACAGTTCCACAGAACCTATGACAGCAATGTAGCTGGGGATGTTCTTCCTGTAGAGCTTCCAGCTCATAGAGCTGTACAGCATAGTCATGAAATATATGTGGCTATTTCACAATTGAACAAATTTGGCTCAAAGTTGTGGCTAGTAATTTCAATACCAGAGCAAACTTCAAATTTCAGTAAGAGGAAAACTGCTTCCCATCAGTGATACCCCGTGTCACCTCAATTCCTGATATGATGGTGTACTGGGAATAATGTGCCATGCAGAGGAGGCGATTTTAAACTCTTAATATATACCTTTGTGTGTCCTCACTCTTCAACTCTTCTTTACCATTTAATTATCTCAGTAAGATACTTCTTACCATTCCACTCATTTTCAGATATTACCACTTCTATATGTTCTGGATATAATATGTATATCATCTAACAGTATTATTATTTATTATTTTAGATATGTATTAACATATTTGTTAATTTTTGACAAAATATTAAAAATTAACATATTAAATAGCTCAAAATACTAAGTTAACTTATTTGTTATTTTGTCCATATTAAGTGCTATAAAATAATCATGATTTTATAATACATGAAATGGCTAATATTTACCTTTTTAGCTATAAGCAAGCAAAGACAATCATGTTTATTGTGTATGTAAGGAACAATACAGTAGACTATAATTTTTTTAAGTAATTCACTTAATCACTGAATTTTGTAACCTAATGAATTAGTTCAGATGTAAATAATTCAGATTTAAAAGATGTACTCAAGACAAATAACTCTGTAGTAAATATATCTTCTTCAATAAAATCTTTACTTTGTAGAGTGAAAAGAATCTCATACGATCAAATGTTACTTTCTCATAAATCTATAGCACTAAACATATTCTATATACACATAGTAGGCCACAATTTTTTTCCTTCTAAACTCTTCATCATTATTTTCATATCATATTTTTATAGTTCTGTTGTTAATATTCATACTATGAGAACATATCTTACATATATATAGAAAGATTTAAAGGAAATATATGTACCTACTTTTTGTTAGAGAGTACCTGCATTTGCTAGAGAGAGACAGAGAAAGGGTGAGAGGAGAAAGTACCCCCATGAGGAATGATTACGTCACAGTCCCTTCTCCTTCATCTCTTCCTCCTTTCAGCATTTTGGCCACACACACCCTGCCTGTTTCTCAGTCCACTGGGTCCAGAAACATGCCACGTGGTTAAGCCATGCAGGATCCAGCTCCTTTAACCATCAAGCCATGAAGTCAGCGCTTAGGGAAATATTTTAAATTTAAAAGTTGTTACTTCTGTCTTCTGCATGCTATATCACACCTGAGATTAGAATTTACCAGTATTACAAATTTAAAAAGTTTTAACACCCTGACCTTAGACCATCAAATAAATTGTTTTCCTTAAACATGAAATCAGGCTTCTCTTTGTTTCTTGTAAAGTGATCTTTTAAGTGACATTTTCTAGAAATATGTTCTAAAGTAGTTTGAAATAAAATAGGTCCTTAATAGTGATTTTAAAATAGTTTTCTTCTCCAAATGTTTGTATTATGTTTAGATTTCTGTTGTCCCTTAATAGATACTTCGATCTTTATCATCTAGCAAATGTTATATAAACTGAATTTATGTTGGGGGGGGAGTCTTTTCCTTGAAGATTTTTTGGTATATTTGAAACCTGATTACTATTTTTTTTTTCCTTTTAGGTGAGAGGCCCTCCAACTGCAGGGGCATTTAAAGAAAGACCAATCAAGCCCACAGCATTCCGAAAATTTTATGAGCGAGGGGACTTCCCGATTGCCCTTGAGCATGACTCGAAAGGAAACAAGATAGCCTGGAAGGTAAGTCAGGGCACAGCTGTGAAGGCCAGCTGCGCTTGCTCAAGTGACATCCCTCCTGCCAAACAAAGTTGGCTGCTAAGTAAATAAACTGGAGTCATTTCTCAGCAAATGGAAGGTGGTGGGTAAGCTCTCAGAGAAAGCCCCTCTGTGTCAGCCGTCCACCTTGACTAACAATTAAATTATAGCCTGCAAAGAAGAAAATGACTGAGTTGCTTTGCCTTAGAGAATTGTGCGCTGCCCAATTCATCTCTATTTTTATGAGAACCTGGCAGCCCAGCCTGTTCGGCGCAGTCCATCAAATGATGGAACTGGCGCTGGACGCAGAGAGCAGCAGCCATTTATCTCTCCCAAATTTCACCTTCCTGCAGGACACTTCCAAATGGAAGCTTTAATTACCTAAATGGATAGGTCAAGACTGTCTGCTCCCTGGAAATGCAGAGTGGAATACCAAAGAAGGCCGAACCTCCTTCCTCGGCTCTCCTCTCTGTCTGCAGCTCCTGTCAGCCAGCGCGATGGCTGTCACACGTGCCCTGTTAGAAGCTGACCTCCGCCGCTGCAGCCATTACAGCCCAGACATTTTTCTGACAAAAGGTTAATTGGCTTCAAAATAAATGTATTGCCTAATGACTCCATTCTAATGCGGCTGTGTTTCTTTCTAAAAGGCTCGCTGATGTTATTTGTAAAAACTTGCCAATCTCTTAACTGGAGTAGGCTTTTACATTTAATTTGAAAAATGAATTCTGATCTCTAACCACCTTCTGCTACTTAATTTCTGTTATCCTGACTTTGCTTTTAGTGATATTTATCAGCAAAAAAAGGCTTCTCAGCCTAAAGACAGCACAGCCATTGCACAGGTGTGGTATCATATGAGGTGAAGGAAAAATCAAAGGCTTTGGCCAAATGTCAGTTAATTAAGCAATTGACACATTTAATGAAAAAGTCCAGCAGACTTTGAAAGTGAATGTAGGAATTGTCTGTAATTAATTAAAAAAAAAAACCTTTATGTTAAAAAAAATAAAATCATCAAATTGAAAAATTCATCGGAGTGAATATCTCAGAAAGATGCATTAAAATAAACTTTCACCTTCTTCTATAGAAACACTGAAAGAATATAAAAATATATGCTTATTATTATGAAACATTTCTAAATCTTGAGTCTTCAGATATTTGGTTATAGAACTACAAATTATTTCAAATTACTTTACAGGAGAAACGGTGGTGGTATCCTCATTACCAACCTCACCATAAATGTTTTTTGTTGGAGGTTGGAGGAAGAGAGATAAGAAACATTATTATCCTTTTCCTTTTAGCCATTTCTATTGGGATGTGAATTTGTTGTGTCGACATATATGTGTGGTATAAAAAAATTTACAGTTTAAGTAGAACTAATTTAGATACTTAGGTCCTAACATAACTACATATTCCAAAAGTTTGGCTGTGATTTGGGGGTTTGTTTATATTTGATTAATTACATGGATTTTGTGTTTGGTTGTCTATGTTCTGGCTTAGATTAGATAACACGGGGATTTTCTTAATACATGATTCCCATTGAGTAAAAGAATAGATCATATATCTATAAAAAATGAGTAGCTTTTGGTGTTTTATAATAAATAGTTTAACCTATGCATAAGCTATATTAATAAAAAAGTTATATAGATTTATTTTGATCTGTTCAAATAATTTTATGAGTAACTTTAGAAATGCCAAGAGACTAGAAAAAAAGTTCATCTTGGAAATAAATTATTAATAGAAATAAGGAATGAATCATTTTGTTTTATCTTTGATAACACTTATTAGGGATATATTATAAACTGCTTTTCTGTTTTATGGTTATATTAATTAGTTTAAGTCACTATTGATTCGGCAAGCTAAAAACTAATAATAAAGAGGAAACAATTTATTTGCTGTCACTGGTAATGTAAAAGCATTAATTTAGAGAAACATCCTATTCCAGAACCTAATAGACTTCTGTCTTTTAGAGCTTTGCTACTAAATTTTGATTGTGTTACTATATTATTGAAATTAGACATGAGAATTATTAAGCATAAGCTATGAACAGTCTCTCCATGTGATCGTATTTATTCCTTGGTTATATTTACTGTTGGGGTGAACTGGTGATAAACAGAGCAGGATCCATTCCAAGGAAGGAGACTTGAATGTTGAAGGAAGTAGGGCCACCCTAGAAAAAAAGAAAATACAGAAAATCAAGACCCTGCTCTGTTCTCCTCTGGGTAGGGGCAGAGTGCAGGTCTCTAGACATGCAACCCTCTAATCTTAATGTTGAAGCCCACTTCTCAGCGAAGATTCAGGGGTTGCAGTTTTCCTGCCTTCCCAGGAAAATACAGGACCATTCTCAGCACTCTTTAGAACACCCAAGGGACTCCCAGGGGAATGTGAGTGCCTGAAAAGGTGAGCATAAGAAAAGTGATAAACATTTATTTCTTTGATCAGAATCACAAGAGGCCTTGACTTGGAAATACTTAGGACTCACTGCTCTAGAAACCACAGTGAAAATGGGCCCAGGCTCTCAGGCTCATTACAGTCTGTAACGCTGCTACAGTGTAGATCCCTGCCCAGGTTATCAAATCCCCCTTCTACTTGTTTGGTATTAGCTGGCCCATTCATCACCATGTGGGAAACCACCATGTGCTCTTGAGATAAACAATCTAATCTAATCAAGTCAGGAAATGGAAGTTAGAGATGCACAAATGTCTTTGCATATTTGGGTTCTCAGCCCACATCCTAATCTATAGAGTAGTTTAGTGCTTATGAAAATGGTCATTTGTTCCACATGCCAAAACAGTATGCAGGCCATGTGCAATAGTCTGGCCAGTTCAGTCTATTCCTTGTGGTATCTCTAAAGACCAGAGTGGTGTCCAAAGCAACTTTCTGCAATGGCAGAAATTATCTACATCTGCTCTTTTTAAACACTACAACTGGCCAAATGTGGCCATTAAGCACTTGATATGTGCCTACTGAGACTGAGCAACCAAATTTTACATTTTATTTAATTTTAATTAATTTTAATTAAAATAGCCACATGGTTACCATATTAGACTGCTCAGTTTTGGATTATGATAATGGAAGTTAAGAATTAATGTCTGACTCTGCTACTCAGACAGAAGACTGTAACTTTATAAGAAATTTTGCTAAAATTATTATTAAAATGAAAAGTAGAACGTATATTGTATATTTGTATTTTTGTCGTGGTTGTGTATAAGTTCCTTGACAAATATGAGAAAAGCAGTACAAAATATCTGTACTGAGGGCCAGCACATGGCATGGTGGTTAGATGCTAGGTTCCACATGGTCAATTTTGTCATTTGAATCACAGACCTGGCAGTTTAAAAAACATACTGGGTACCTGTGTGTATGTGCTCAAAATTTCAAAAGGAGAATGGAGGAGAAGGGATTGCTGTATGGCCATCCCCCATGGAGGATGATGATTTCTCACTTTTTCTGTCTCTGTTTCTCTCTAGTGAGCACATGTGCCCTATGACAAGAAATGAAATGAAATTATATATAAATATTTTTCTATATTTTATGGCAAATCCATTATGTATATATAACATTGAATAGGTCTGATATAAAATATGTCATCTACCAGACAAGCTATGGGATACTTTTTTATTTTCAAATATGTAGATTCTAAATATGTCAAAGAATCCCTAAAAAAATCCTTGAGATTCTTTAAAAATATTTTTTTAAATTTATCTATCTATTTATTTGTTGTGAGTTTTCAAGATGTTGGGTCCAGGCCTTGAAGTGTGGTCAGCCATGTGGGACTCCAGCATCTTACCCACCACACCACCTGTTGGCTCCCAAAGAATTCTTATCAGTGGTTGTTGCTATAAAAAAATCTAATGATTACTTAAACAAAAAGTTTGAAACTTCTGCTTTTTCTACATCTTTCTTGACTCCACTAATGTTCAGGAATTGTAACTGTTTATTCTGTCACGGATATTTGCAATATTCATATTATAGGCAACAGAAGTGAAAAAGAGCTAAGTATCCTGAATACATTATAGAGTAGGTTGTCAGCAAGAACAGTGGAAATTTAAAATTGTGTTTGAGTTTTCTCATGTTAAATTCCCATTCTTTAATTTCCTGACTTCCATAATGTGAATCACATTCTTCAAAGATAGTGATTGGGGTGAGGCGAGACTGCACATAAAGGTTTTCCATATGAACATTCTGGAAGGAGAAGAATTAAATAAACTTACAAGATATTCAGTATGTTATATTGATCTCTGCTGCTTACTCGAGGAGTAAACAGAGGCATAATTGTAGAAGGTAGCCCTTTGGTGAAGAGTTTTTAAACTGTACTAAAGCCAAATATTAAAGCATGAGTCAAAAGGGTTTATGAAATTATGTGGAAATTTACAAAACTCCCACAAATTGTGCTCTTACTTCTGCCTCTAGGTGTTCTCCACTAATCCCACTGTCATGCCTCCCCACTCCCAATTCAGTTTAAAACAATCTTCAGATCTCTTCTCCTCCCCTGTCTCTTCCTCCTCCTCTTCCTCTCCCTCCCTATCCTACTGCTCTCTTTTCTCTTTCTTCCTTCCTCCTCCTTGTCCACCTTTTCTTCTACTTCTTCCTCTTCCCCTTCTCTTCTTCCACAGCCTTTTCCTCATTTTTGTTTGTCACTTTCCAGAATCCATGTTCTCCCCTGTCATTTTTCCAGTGTTGATTTTGGGAGAAGGGGACAGGAGTTCATTATAGTTCTCAATTTGGTAAGAATCTGAAGTAATCTGAAAATTCACCTAAATTAACTTAAAATAAGCTGTTACTTACACAGTTCATGAGGAATACAAATATGAATCATAGGTAGCACTAGAGAGTCATCATTTTATGATAAATTATGATCCCAAGCTATTGTTTCGAATAATTGTAGGAATGTGAGCTCTTTTAAGGTGGTCACTTCAGGGGCATGTGTATGTATGTATGTACCCACAATCCTAACAGAAGAATGGAGTGTGGCCTTTCCCCTAGGTGGT